CTTTATTGTCAATCTTTCAGTTTTTGTGTAGATCGAAATACCGTTTCCCACAATCCCGAATACAAAAACAATGATATATAAAAATATGTATGTCCTATATATACACAATCAAAGGACACATGTATACATATGCACACATTAAGACATTAATACAAGCACAACAATCAATATATACAAAATAACAGTCACTTCAATATCTTTGAGAATATACATTAGTGCAAGAGTGTCCATAGCAGCGTAAAAATTGTCTGGTGCTGGTTGTGAGTGTCTGAGTTTGTAACATAATATCTATTCTATTTACATGTTTATAGACTTCTTGGGCTATTTTTTGTATTTGTATTGTTGTATTTTATTATATATGTTGCATTGTTGGAGGAGCTCAGGTCAGAAGAATTTCATTGCCATTTCTACACTGTAGCTTTGTGCATTTGACAATAAAACCTTTGAATTTGAATATATTCCTTCCTGGTTATCATGTGCTTGTGTTCTCCTACCATCTCCTCTGCAGCGTGAGTACACCCTCCTTCATCGGGCTGAACCTCCTTCTCCTGAACCTTCTGAGCTCCTGTCGGAGTCGTAGAGGGGCGGCCGCGATACCTGGGGCAAACAGAAACAAACAAACATGAGGTCTAATGTTACCCGAGTAAAACTGTTTGTCGATGCACTTGAAGCCATAAGTAATGCCTGTCTTTGTTACAGTAACTAAATGTATCCCAGTTGTTTACACAGACACCATGGGCAACTAAAGAGCTAAACAAATTATTTAAATTAAAGTATCTTTGACGAGATAAAGAACTATTCCTGTCTTTGAAATATGGGACATGGTCCAGGTTCAAACCCCACTGCAGTCAGCATGTCGTTGTGTCCCTGAGACACTTCACCCCAAATTGCTCCTGTGGGGATTGTCCACAGTATTGAGTATGTTAAGTCGCTTTGGATAAAAGCATCTAACAAGTAACATGTAATGTAATGTAAAGTGAGTCTCATAGACTTCTATAAAATGTTGCAACCAGTGTCCCCTGCTGGACATTAGAGAGGATGCCCTTTACGGTTTTGTAACCCTTACTAAACTTGAAAAAAATATTTTTAAGTCTAAAAGAATATGAACTCTAAACACTTGTTCTCATACACTTCAATATAATTTCTTCTTCTTAGGGAACATCGATCTTTACAGTCCTGTACATACTGTATAGTGGAATTGGCCTTAAAATACATTTAAATTAAAATATTGAAGTCTAAATGTACCTTGCTCCTCCGCTGATTGGGGGCGGGGCATAGCTGTTGGGGGTGTACGTGTCGCGGCCTCTCGTTGTTGGGCGATGACCTCGAACATCTACAGTGGTCTCTGGTGAAGTCTGCAGGTCAACAAGATAAATACATTAAAACATACAACTCATATAATTATATTGTAATTACATTTGTAGCTTAATATTCTACTCACTGTCACGTTCTTGGTCTTGGTGTCCTGAGGAAAGTAAAGGGAAAATATTGTGAATTGTTTTCAGTTTAAATGTTGTTTGCCACTGTTGTTTAAAGGATGCATTGAATTCAGATTGTATAGAGCACCTTTTAAATGAAATTGTAAAAATAAAGAGAAATGTATTTCTGTTTTATTTCTTAAAATATTTAAGTCGATGTCGAAAAGTTTTGTGCCCTTTACGTATAATGCATATATTTATATTTATGCATGATCATTTTGTTATATGCTAAACAAAAACAATAGAAATTATTTTAAAGTAATACACAACTAAGATTTGTAAATGAATTACACAGGCAAGCAGATTAAGATATAACATTTAATTAAGACACTTTTTTTACACTATGATATTATGAAATAATAAACGTATTCATTTTTACAATTTATTAAAAAAGCACTATATTTGAATAAATGTTGTTCTTACTTTTGATCAAACACACACACTTACCGTGTCATAGCTGTCATAATCGGGATCCTGAGCCCTGGCAGCGGACACACACACACTCACACACACACACAGCAGCAGCAGCGTCCTCATCTTCGGCTGTCGATAAAGTTTTATTCTCAAACGCTCGTCAGTCTTCAGTGTGCTCTCTCTTCTTCTTCTGTACCCGAAATCTGCTGCACCGCGTATTTATCCCCTGTGTGTGTGTGTGTGTGTGTGTGTGTGTGTGTGTGTGTGTGTGTGTGTGTGTGTGTGTGTGTGTGTGTGTGTGTGTGTGTGTGTG